ACGTCGTTTGCCAGGTCAGGAACGCAATCGCCTTCCCGAGCATGTCTTTGATGCGCTTGACCTGTCCTGGCTTCATTTTGCTCTTTCTCACCCGCCTCGGCGGCGGCTCTTCCCGTGTGGTCTGATCATCTCCCAAGCCTGACCTTCATCGATTCCGTCGTCTTCGATTGCAAATTCCTCCGGGTTGATGCCTTCCGTTCCCTCCGTCGGGGTCTCCACCAGTTGCGCGATTTCTTGGCGTCCGTAGTCCTGTAAGCGAATGTAGTCCCTCGAAGCAACCCTCGAGGTCAAACGTAGCTGATAGACCTCGGCATTTGGCTCCTGCTTTTTGAACGCCGCCTGTGTCTGACCCTGACGCAAGCAGATGATCTTGTCCCTCAGTTCGGATGCAACTCCTGGGAGGTTAATTCCGATTTTGCACTGGTCCGAAATCCGGCTTAATCCCGCTTAATCCGGCTTAATGCCGCTTAATCCCGCTTAATCCGGCTTAATCCTGCTTAGTCCGAGGCCCACTCCGGCGTAACAGCTCCCAAATGGGGCTTGATCCCCCTTACTCTTTCCGACGAAAACCTCCCAGTAGATGCCTCCTACTTGAAGCAAGCAGGTGATCTTGTCCCTCAGCATAGCTGTCGTGAGATCGGGACGTCGCGCCTCTGGCCCAGCTTGATGAGCTCCTCGCGCCCCACCCTGGCGTTAAGTCGGGCGTGTCCCTCTACAGGGGGGATATTCAACAATAGTCAAAAACATACTCTGGACGATTTGTTGAGTATGTTTTGCCCATGTTTGAATATGTGTGGGCTATTTTCATTTTTTCTTAGAAAATCTCCAGTAAGGGGACAGGCCCGACTTAACCCTGGCGATGCCGCGCAGTTCTGGATCCGTCTGCTCTCGGCGTCACCCCAACATACTCATTTAAGGTTTCTCGATGCGCGCACCAAGAAACCTTATAGTTTATAGTATGTGCGTCGTGGCAGGCGCTTTCTGGCCACACCGCTCGGGAAACATTATACTACGAGATGGGCATACTATTTGTTTGGGTCGGACGCGCGCCTCCGAGGACAACAGTACTAGTATGTCTTTGTGCGTCCCATGCTCCTTTGACTTGCGCCTCTGACCGTGCTCCATGCGCTTCAGGTGGGGACTCGGGAAGGTTGATAGACCTCCTACCCTGACACGTCGATTCGCGAATTTGCCGTTTTCGGTTCGCGAGAGGGCTTCGCGGCCGTCATTTTTGCGGATCCAGGTCCGTCGGTTTCGGCCCTAGGCCGCTTTCACCAAAGGGAGGTTGACTGAAGGGAGGTTTGTCCACCGCCGAGGACTGACTCGCATCTCTCCACAGCGCCTCCCCGGGTTCTCCAGGCTATTGCGAAGGCCTAACGGCCGGTGCCGCCGACCCTGAAGACGACGAAGATGAAACCGAGCGGGGGGGGGGGTAGGAGGCGGAGGAGGAGGAGGAGGAGGAGGAGGAGGAGGAGGAGGAGGAGGAGGAGGAGGAGGAGCGGGGGTGGGGGAAGAGGAAGGGTGGAGAAGGCGCATGAGGGAGGAGGAGGGGGGGGAAGGAGGAGGAGCAGGAGCAGGAGAAGGAGGAGGAGGAGGAGGAGGAGGAAGGAGGAGGAGGAGGAGGAAGAGAAGGAGTCGACAGCGCCTTCCCGGGTACTCCAGGCTATTTCTCTCCATCTCCTCCTTGAGCTCCAGCTGAGAACCATGCTTCCCCGCGGTGGTAGACGTCGTGTGCGGCCTGGGGATCCCGTCCCGGGCGCTCCTGCATCGGGGACTCTTCCAGGCGACGGCCACTGGCGTAAGTCGTGCCTGTCCCACTAGAGGGGGAACCTTCGAAAATGGTAACAGAATGGTCCGGGGACGACTGCCTGATTTTTTGATCATATGTGAACCTGTTCTCTCCATTTTTCATGCTTCGCCCCAAACTCCGCCTGCAGGAGGACATGCCCGATCTAACCATTGGCGAAGATGAGGCGCACAGCGAGATTCCTCGCCGAGGTGACTGCTGTGAGTATGGCTTTGAGCAGCCTCTTCCACGGGACGCACGCTGCGGTGCTGAGCTGGCGATTGGTCCTCGTGTCCAGAAATGTCCCGGTGACGGATCTGCTCTAGTGGGAGGAGGAGAGGCATCCCGCCTCGAACATTGTACAGTCTGTCGGATTGGCTTTAGCCGACGCTTGATGCGAACGGTTCCCGCGTCGGTCGAACGTCTGGTTCGTGTTTGTTTGATGACTCTTCTTGATGGCATCGATTAGGGATGTCCTGCTTGTTGTTTGCTTCGAGGTTTGTCGGCGCTCGGCTTCTGGAAATGATACCTGTTTCGGCTTGGCTGCTAAAACAGGTCGCTCGACTTGTAATCGATCGTAGTCGGGCAGTTGTTCGAGTCGCTCTTCCGATAGTTGCTCGTAACCGCCTGCTGGTTTGACGCTGTCTGCTTGGACCGACGACTTATGGTCGGCTGGGTTCTCCCGTGGCAAATTTGACCACCACCTCTGTGACGACGGCAGCAGTCTGATCTCTGCCAGGTTGGGGCTCACTTCTTGAGCAACGGTGAAAAGGTGGGCACGGTCGAATTCCAGTCAATCGAAGCTGAGGAGTCCGCCCCTGGTGTAGCCCAGCGGCAACTCTGGCAGGCCGAGCTAGAGGAAAGTCATGTTGCTCTCGCCCAGCACGTCGCTGTGATGGTGCACAGCGGCCAGCTGTCCCAGCGCCTTATGCGACATGAGTCCTGGCACCAGGCATGGCACGATCGCGATCCTCAGCGTGAAGTGCCGCCTCCCCCTGACCGCGAGCTGTATAAGAGCGGCGAGAGTGTTGCGGACGGATTTGCTGTCTCCAAAACGATACGATGCATAGTCTTAAAATTCGATGGGAGTCAAACCAGTCTTAGCCAAACAATGCTTGATGCCATTATACCACGCTTGTCCACCCACGCATCTGGCGCAACATTAATCTGGAAGTATCTTGCCACCACACTGTTACAGTAGCTCCTCCTTGGTGGCCATGATCATGTGTGCGGCCATCCAGCTTGCGTGGGCTGGTTTCACGAAGGAACTCTGCTGGTTTCACGAAGGAACTCTGCTGTGGAATCTGCTTATCCTTGTATCTCCAGCTCACACTCGGGAAGTACCCGCTGGCTGCCTCTGCATCACCATCTCCATCGTCGGTGCAGGCGACATGAGTGGCCTTAGGAGGTCCAGGGCATTCTTTGTCTCCCTTCCAGTGTCCAATACGATGACATGCGGCTCAGTGGGTTCGGGCTTTGAACCTTACGATGCGCTCAGAGCCCTTCCCGTCGCCTCGGCCACCACCTTTCCCGGCTCGCCCTTTTCCATCACCACCCGTACCGATTCCAGGCAGACGATCTCGGTGGTATAATCCTCGAGCATGCCTGGCGTCCTCCTGTCTCCCTTCGGCCCTGGCGAGCATCTTGTCCATCCTGAGCACTTCCGCGTCGGCCTCTATATCTTCATCAATCAGCTCCTCGTGTTGATCCTCGGCATCTCCATCTACCTGGAGCGCGCCGTGAGTGTCCTCCTGTATGCTGCCATGGTCCACCATGTGAGCCCCCAACCGTCGAGGTCGGTCTGGAGGTCTGAATGGTGGCCCTATCTGTGTCGGTCTCCGTGGGTTGTATCATTCTAGACACTTGGCATCTTTGACGTTCAGGATCACTTGCTTCTGCAGCTGCCTGATCTCGTGCATGTTGTCGGTCAGGCGGCAAACCCTTCCACCAAATGAGCAGCCACGCCAGAGCCTCATCTGGAAACGTAATGATCAGCGTCTTGAGCCTGAAGGCCTGCGTATCGAATCTGTTGATATCGCTCCGCATCTCCTCTCTAGCGTCTCGGCGCATGTTGGTGAAGAAGGTCCTCAACTCTGAGCTCAACTCCATCACTGTCCGGTTGTGAAACATATCAGCCAAGCAATATGGCAATATCTGGACTTCGTCTCCGTCTTCAGCGTCTACCACCAGGGCGGCTGGGTCCAGATCCGCTGCGTGTGCCTAGACGTCCCCCTGCAATTCTGCACATAGCTCAGCTGCTCGCTTGTCGGCTGGCACTCCAGCACGTGCTCTCCACACCTTGCCGCGTCGCCGGTAGTCATTCGTCGTCATCTCTGGGGGATCGTAGTTGGGCGGCCTCACGGATCCTTCACCGCCTTAGTCTCGCGGCGGTGGCTCCTCTCCCTCGCCGATGCCTGCCATCTTGGTCGGCACCTCTCTTCGGTGCTGGTGCAGCGGACGATCCTGTTGAGCTCGGCGGTCGAGCTCTCCGCACAGCGCGCTGGTCGAAGTGCTCCGCTGCCAGCGTGAAGATGCCACTTCTATGCGGTGCGACGTATGCTGCTGATGCTTTCTCTTGCTATACCGCATGAGCCCATGGGCCCTGCGAGCCATCCGTGCAACACGGCTGGGCAGGAGCGCTGCAGAGGGCAAGCACCCGCTCCCGCAGCCACAGAGGGGAAGAGTGGCGTGGGGGATGATGATGAGGAGGAGGAGGAGGCGGATGAGGAGGAGGAGGAAGCACGCGCAGCCGCTCCGCGCCGGCGCCCCCCGCCGACTGGAGCGCCTCCCAGCGGTGCGCGGCGGCGCGCGGCGGGCCAGGAGCCGCGCCCGCGCAGCCGGGGCCATGGGCTGCAGGCTGGGGCCGGGCGGCGAGATCGACGGCCGGACGCTGGCGTTCCGGGACCCCCGCGTGGAGACGGGCTTCCTGCACAGCAGCATCGAGCAGCTCCGGACGTGGCTTCGGCGCGGGATCGTCCTCGTCGTCGTGTGCGGGTTGCCCGCCATGCTGTGCCCGTCATCGGTGGAGGGCGCGACGGAAGAAGCGGTTCGCATATAGCGATGGCAGTTCCTTCTCCAAGTTGCGTCTACCGCCGTAGAGTTGGCGACGACGAGCGCAGCGTTCATATTATCGGGCTACGGCCTGATAGGTGCCCGTGGGATTGAGGCTTTGGTAGTAGTCGCTGTCTTCGCGGCCGAGGTTCACACTTGCACAATGATGAAGCATTACGCTGCGCGGTCATTTGGCTGCGACGATCCAAGTGCCCTGTGGGGAATGGAACTTGGCGGCACAGATGCGCCGTTCTTGATGGGCCTGATTTTAAGTGTTGCAGGGTCGGGCATGATGGTGCGATGGATGCTGCTTGTGCCAGTCGCACTGTTCTCTGTGCTTGGATACGCGGCTGCTGCCTACCTCATCGGCAGCCCAGACATGAGGTTGGCCCGGCTGAATCTGACCGCCTTCGCCCTCATCGTTCTCGTGACCTGCTGCGGCAAGTGGAGCTGCGAACTTCAGGCCCGCCTGTTCCACCTCTCGCATCTGAGGGAGAAGAGGATGCCCTTCCAGGCCGAGCTTCCCTCCGAGCGCCTGCAGGACAGCAGAGATGGAAAGTACGAAGGAAGCCACACAGGGAGTTCGCCGTACGGTGGGGGCGTTTGTTAATGAACGTGCCCGGGGGGCTTCAGACCCCGGAGGATTCCTTATCCGATGAGGTCGGCGGTGGTATCCGTGGCCAATCCACGATCGGTGTTCCACCAGCCTCAGACCCTGGACGCCTTATCCAAGGGTTCCTTATCCAGTGCCCCCCCCCGTACCTCTGCCAGGCCGACTGCGGCGGCGGCGCGAGGCGCGGGCAGTGCTCGCCGCGATCTGCTCCGAGCGCGCCCCCGAGCGCGCCGGCCCCGCTCGGCCCGGCCGCCGCAGGGGGCGCGGCCGAGGGAGCCCGCCCCTGCCCGCGGGAGGCCAGCGGCGAGGCCGCCCCTGAGTGCTCGGACTGCCTGCCGCTGGACGCCAGGGTGTGGGTCGAGGGCTGCGCCGGCCCCCGCGCACTGCGAGACATCGAGCCAGGTCAGCGGGTGCTCTGCCACGACGCGCTGGGGCGGTCGAACCGGTACGCCCGGGTGCTCGAGAAGCAGGTCGCCTTCGGAGACGCCCCCTGGGTCCGCGTCGGCCTCGCGGACGGGACGCAGCTGGCGATGACGGCCGACCACCCCGTGAAACCTGCCAACGGCGAAGAGGTGGTTCGGGCTGCAGACTTGGCCGCAGGAAGGGACAGAGTGGTTGTGCACAGGGTAATGACGGGGCCCGTCGCGGTGACGGAGGTGTCGCCGCAGCCAGGTGCGCAGTGCCCGCGCGGGCGGGCCTACCTGGTGGTCCAGCAGCCCGATCGGCACATGGTCCTGGTCGCCCCGGCGGGGGCGGAGGCGGAGGTGAGCTCGCTGGCAGTGTGCTCCGCGGACGTGGCGGTCGTCCGCTCGCGGCGGCACCGGGTGAGCACCAGCGGCACCTTCCTGCACGTCCACCTGGCCCCTCAGGGCGAGGCGCGGCGGCCGGCCCGGCCCCGCTCCGAGCCGCCCAGGCGCGGCCCGGCGGCGGCGGCCGAGGCCCGCGGGCCCGCGGCCGACTGCCCGTGCGGGCGCCCGCGCCCCGAGGGCCCCAGGCCGGGGGAGCGGGAGGACAGCGAGCAGTCCTCCTGCGCCACGTCCACGGGCACCCCCAGCGACCCCCAGGTTCGGGCCAGACGAAGGGGGGGGGGAGTGGGAAAGGGGGGGTTACGTAATTTGCTGCATGCAGCTGGTTTCGGCCTCACCGAGGGGCCCATTCCTCGGTACACAGCCGCCTCCAGCGCCGGGAGGCCTCGCCGGCGCCGGGAAAATCAGCTACGTGAGCTGATTCTCACCCCCCCCCTTTGCTATCCCCCCCTTTGGCCCGACCCGACAGGTGACGATCACCGTGTCCATGCCGCTCGACCCGGGCCCGGCTGGTGGAGCAAAGCGCGCGGGGGCGAGGGTCAGCGACTGGCTGACCATGAGGAGGATGGGGTGGCCGAGCCTCGGGAGCAGGCATCATGCGAGCGGCGACTGCAGGCTCTGCGACTATCACAAGAGGGGCTCGTGCCGTGCCGGCCCGGGTTGTCACCACTGCCACATCGACGACAAGTGCGGCAAGCGGCGCCATCGTCGTCGGGCTGTGCCTGGTGCGCACAGCAGCGGCCCGCAAATTCTTACACTATGAAGGACCTCTCCAGGTGAGGTCGGCCGTGCCGTGTGCCGCGTCGCCATCTGCATCGCGCGCCGCACCCGCTGTGGGCTTTTCTCATTTGCTTTGGATTGCCTCTGGCCATCCGTGATCGTCGTCCAGCGGCAGCCTGCGAGGAAGTAGCGCTGGGATGAAGCAGGCTTGTTACTTTGAAATCCACGCCCAGTATACCTTGTTGCACACGCAGTTGCTGTGCCGCCCCGCTCTGGCACATCATGTGCTACAGCGCGCGCGTGGCACAACAGTTTCGACGAGCCGTTGGTTAGGTTAGCCTGAATGGCTCAGGTTAGCTTTGGCGCAGTGTCGACAGGGGCTGGGTCAGGTTAGGTTGAGGATGTGCTAGGTTAGGGGGGGGACTTGTACTGAGTCGTTGCCTTGTGCCCCGCAGTTGGCCGTTTTGTTTCTTGCACTGCGATCGGGAGCGCGGTCAGCAGGATTACACTGGACGTGTTTTTACATCAGCCCCGTGGATTTACGTGCGCCTGGGCTTGCAACGCGAAGCTCCCGTAAGTTTGCTGGGAGGGACTCTGGCGCAGGTAAGGCTCGGGAATGTTCTTCGAGCTTGCGTTCGGTACATGTCTAGGGGATGCGGATATAGAAGAAGGAGAGGATGAAGGGAGGAGGAGGAGGAGGAGGAGGAGGAGGACGAGAAGGACGGGGACTGGGGCAACAAGCACCTGTTGTTCGTGCGCCGCAGCGAACGTATCCATCTGAACTGGAGTCGCAGCGCGGGTGTGGAGGGATGTGGCGGCCGCGCCGCACTTGCATGTTGCACAGCACCTCGCCGCTGCGGAACGGATTTCGCACCAATCGGGGCCCCGTGCACCGTCTGCGGTGTTTCTCTGGCAAGTTTGCGTGCTGTCGCCGCAACAGGTGCCACTGTGGATGCAGATCCGCCTGTGCTCGGCAAGCGCGTCCACCACGAACGCTTGGTGGTTTATGGCACCGTTGGCGCATCGCTCGAGCCCCTGCTCTCGCCTTGCTATTCACCTCCCCCCAGCACTCTTCCCCCCTTGCTGCCTGCTCCTCCATCAGCCCCGTCGCTGGTGTCGGCCCCACCAGGCCGCTTTGTGCAGCCCTTGTCAATATCTTGGCGCCCCAGCGTTGTGTCAGGGCGCTGGCAGTCGCTGAGCTACCATCCTCTTCCCCAGCGCCGGCGTCGGCCCTGCCAGGCCGACCCGTGCAGCCGTTGCCAGTGGCTTGGCGGCCCAGCGGCGTGTCAGGGCGCTGGCAGCAGCTTAGCCGCCATCTTCCGCCCCCCGCTGCTGGGACGGGGTATTCCTGCATCCCTCCTCCTGATCCTCCTCCTCCTGCCCCTCCTCCTCCTCCTCCTGCTCCATCCCTCCCCCTGCTCCTCCTCCTCCCCTTCGTGCAGGGTGCCCCCTGTCCCGCCGCCCGGCGCCGCGACCGCGTGTGAGCAGAGCCACCGCGCCGGGTCAGCAACGGCGGCGTCGGGCCGGCGCCTCCCTGGCTCCCAGCCCTCCCGCCTGCCTGCGCGTCCGTGGCATCTTTTCCCTTCTCCTTGCCCCCCCCTCTTTCTCCTCCTCCCTCCTCCATCCTCCCTCCTCCTCCTCCTCCTCCTCCACCTCCTCCTCTTCCTCTTCCCCCTAGTCGGCGTTGGAGGCTCAGGCACTTGGAGCTGCGACGGAGTGATGACTTTCATTGAAACCCACTCACACGACTGCCGCCCCATACATTCTCCAATCCCCGTCGGGCCAGAGACGGAGTAGGGGGGGAAGGGGGAACAGATAGAAAAAACAATCCCTGCAGCCACTTCGATTCCGTACCTTATGCAACCCTCTCTCGCGTAACAAGGTCGTAATTTGGTGATGGATGTTTGTTGTGCCGCAACGCTCCAAATGTCTGTGGAGGATTTGGTTGTGACCTTGAAAAAAAGACAAGCCAAAAACGCAGAGAAAGGATCCGCCGTACCCATGCCAGCGAATGACAGCTTGCCAGGATTGCCATTTGCGAACAATTGGTTGATCAAGTGCCGCTGCTGGACAGCAGTTACCAGAAGGAAGATGGAGGTCCCAGGGTCTAGCCGGAGGATGACAATGACACATTTCGAAAACCCATAAACGATTCCGAACTTTAGGAACAGCTGCACCAGAATATTGACCTCGAAGCAAATCAGGAGCCAAAGAGACAGATCACGATATTGTTGGAAAAGTTGGCACTGGAAATAGAAGATCAATTGCGTCAGTGGAACCCTATTGGCCCAGCTCTGCATTGACATGCCCGTCGGCGAGATAAGTTGAACGACGGAAGCCAAAGGGAATAGATAATTCCGGAGATTCGGAGACCATTGGCATTCGCCAGTGATGAACATCGAAAGCCCATGACAACTCTGTCGGAGGACAAGAGTCAGAGGCTGCACAGGCGTGGCCACCGGCTCCCCCCTGAAGGGGGCCGCTGCGCTCGAGTCGCCTCGGGAGGCGCCGAGTTTGAGCAATGCAGCCCCAGAAGCGCGGAGAGCGCCTCGTGGCCGCGGCGCAGACGAAAGCAGGCGACAAAGAGAGAAGATGGAGGCCCCGAGGTTCGAAGGTCATTGGCTTCTGCCGCCGATGGACTTCGAAAACCCACGGATTCCCGCGGTGAGGCGGACGAGAAGGAGGTCTGGAAATGTGGAGGCCGACCCAAAGATTTGGAAATGTGACCCCAGGAGATCGATTCGCTTTTTCGCCGGAGAGCGAAGGAGGTCTGGGAAAATGGGGCCCCCCAGGTTCAGAGGCCATCAATTGGTGCCGATGGCGAACTTCGTAAAGCCATGCCCCTCAATGACGACCCTGAGATCGCAAGCCATGCTCCTCAATGACGACCATGAGCTCGAGCTCATGGCCACTGGGTGCAACGCCCATGCTATACTTAAGCCTGACGGCAACCCAATCCCGCAGAAGACGAGCATGATATACCTGGGAAGCGTCTTGACATGTGATGGTTCTGTCGGTGCAGAGTTGAGCCAGCGCATCGGCCGAGCAAGGTCAGAGTTCGATTCATTACAGCGTGTTTGGTCTCATTCTTCGATGTCTACCAAGAGAAAGATCAACGTGCACCTTGCGTGCGTCGAGTCGACGCTGCTGTACAGCCTCCACACATCTTGGTTACGTCAGCACGAACTGGCCAGATTGAATGCTTTTCAGGCGCGGTGCTTGCGGAGAATCCTCGGCATCAGGCATTATTATGTCAGTCGAGTCACCAACGCCGCGGTGTTGCAGCGAGCCGGACGCGGCAAGCTCAGCGACCTCTTGCTGCGACGTCAGTTGATCCTGTTCGGGGAAATCGCACGCAAGGCCGACGACCATCCTGTCCGCATGGCTGTCTTCCAGTCTTCATCCTCTGAGCTGGCGCAGGCGCCCGGCCGCCGGAAGATGGGCAGGCCCCGGCAGGCGTGGGCAACAGAATTGTCTAAGCATGCTAAGCAGATGTGTCGTAGTTCTGGTTGGAACTTTCAGATTTGGGCACCTTTCCAGCGGAAGCCTGGAAAGCAGGGGTGCGCAAGTATATTGTCTAGCGCACGCTCGTGCCATTGCTCATGCGCCTACGGACACGCGGCATCATTCATTCATTCTGGGATTCCCTGTTATGCAGCGACCCACGAAGGAATCACGAAGAGCGTTTTGCAAACACTTTGTTTGGACGGAAAGGGGGGATGTCCACCAGAGAATGTATTGCAGTATTAGAACTCTTGCTTCACAGTGGGCTTGTGCAGGCGCGGAGGAGGTGGAGAAGGAGTAGGCAACTGAGGAAAAGGAGCCAGCAACATTTCTCTTCGGGGGCCCCCTCTGTCCTCTTAGCGGTTGAAGACACAGTGGTTGAAGGGCTTGTCGTCGAAAAGAGGACGCGGAAACACAACGGACGAATTTCGGACGGCATTTATGACAGTATCTGGGACAAGATTGGCCATTGTTGTTCTGCGGATGATCTGCGGCGCCGAATGGCTTCCAGCGTCGTAGTTCGCACTTTGCCGTAAGTGGAATTCGCTCTTTCGGAATGGGAAAGCATGGGAGTTATTGCCAGCTTGGGGGGCAAATACACAACTGCTACCCCGTGAAGATTACGCCCTTCAGAATGGGGAAGCACACAGGATCACCTGAGCGTGTTTGGCCTCACGCCCCCCTGTCTCTCGTCCTCGGTCCATCTTCTACGCGCGCCGCATGTATCCCCAGATTTTCCGGCGTAGTAAGTGTGACCATGCAGAGGGCGGAAAGAGCAGATATAGAGCATGTCTGAGCGCGTTTTGGCCCGGGACGCGGAATCCGAGCGCATTTGGTGCGGGACGCATCTTTCTCGGCGTATTGAGAGTAGTAGAGAGCATCAGCGAGGACATCTCAGAGTGTTGGAGCTTCTGTGGAAGGGGGAGGGGGAGGGCATCTCGTAGCGCAGGAGCTCCACCTCGCAATTCAAAGAGGGGTTCATGGAACCCCCTTACCTGGGAACCCCTGTTCGCCAGCGCGCCCCCCAGAGTGGGCACGCGAACAGGCCAACAGCTGTTCCCCTCGCGCTGACCCGTCGCGACTCGTCTTAAGCGGCGAGCCTCTCTTAACTGGGCCACCTCGGAACTCGCCCCCTTCAGCTTCGGGGCATGCCCCCTGCCTGCCCCGTGAGAAGTCAAGGTATGCGGCATCCTGCAATCGCAGGGGAATTTGCAAGTCGTACCCCGCAGCTCCTTTTGCGGGCGTTTCGGCGTTGACCCCCTTATACGGATGGCTGTCCTGGCATGTCCTTCTTCTCTTCCTACTCCCCCTCCTCCTCCATCTCCTCCTCCTCCTCCGCCAAATCCTCTTTCCTTTCCCCCTCCTCCTCCTCCCCCTCCTCCTCCTTCTCCTCCTCCTCCTCCTCCTCCTCCTCCTCCTCCTCCTCCTCCTCCTCCTATCCTTATTCCTTATTAGAATATACTCCTACTCCCCCCTCAGGCCGGCCATTAGGGGCCGCATCCGGGGGGTCCCATCCTAACCTGTAAAAAACAATACAAA